GCGCATCGCCACGATGCGATGTATATGCACGAGGAGGGATATTGCGGAGTGTAACCGACTGTACCTCGGTCGCATAATCAGCAAGCCGCAAGCCGGCTACACGACGGCGGCGAGGCGCGCGCGGCCGGATAGCGCACGTGTGAAATATGCATTCGCTCCGCGAGACAATGCGAGTCGGACACTAAATTCTCAATCGCGATAACTAAACTACGCAGCAACATTCGCGTACACGCAATCGTACACGCGAATATAAAGTTCACGTGCCGATGTCGCTTGTAATTGAAGATACGACTCCTCTTCCTCCTCCTCCTCCTCCTCCTCCTCCTCCTCGAGAGAGAGAGAGAGAGAGAGAGAGAGAGAAATTCTCCTCTTCGATTCCGCTTTCGATCGAACGTCTTCCATCTCAAATCACTGCTTTCGCCTCCTTTTTCGAAATTCTTTTGAAAGTCCTCCAGTGGAAGATTCGTGGAACATTTTCGCGAAACACACATTTCTCATCTCAGTTTCATTTTCGACACGTCGACGAAATAGTCAGCAACGGTATTCCCTCCACGTACCAAGTTCGTCGTATCGATGTGTGTGACGTTTATAGGAAGTTGCGTCTCGAGGATATTGGCGGAGAAGGAACCGTAATGGCGAAGCGTGAAATTGCCGAGATCGTGGCGTAGAGAACAACGAATTAGGGGCGATAAAACGCGGATAGAGGAGGAGGGACACGAGGCGAAGGAAGAGACGAAAGAGAGAGAGAGAGAGAGAGGGGGGGGAGGAGGCAGAAAAGGCAACCGCTTATTCTTCGAGTATTTCTTTCGGTCGGGTTGACTGGGTTCGTTTAGCAACTCGCTAACTCGCTCGCTGGCGCAGCTCGAGTTAAGCAGCCGGGAGAATGCAGCTCGCATGCCTGCCAACCTTCTTTCCTTCCCCCCTTGCTTGGTGGCAAGGCTAGAGTGGCTGGCCCGCCGCTCTATGCTTTATGCAGTATAACGGAATTTCTGTTTGCACTATCTGGCCGCGGCAGGAGAGAGAAACGGCACACGCGGAAAGAGAGGAGAACGCGTTGCATCGGCGGTGCTGCACCCGGTGTCGTGGCATGGGCCGAGGCCCATGTTAGGAAGAGTAGGCCCCGATTGTGATTCGTGGCTCAGATTAAGACCAATGAGCGGAAGGCATCGTTAGTCGAAATCGTCCCCTCGCCGTTTGTGCATCGATGCATCCGAGAGATAGCCGTTGCCGGTTTTTGCCCGTAGCAAATGGAGGTTTCGTGCGGTCTTTTGTAAAACGGAGCGGGGCCCGATTAGAGGCGCACCCGGGACGCACACGTTCGTTTCGCGCGTCTCGCCGGGGACACCGCGGGCCGATATAACTTCGCACGTTCGTTTCCATCCGAAATTTTCGAAACTTTGCCTCCGCTTTGTTCGACGAAAGAAGTTGCTAGGAGAAGAATAAGAATCTTCTTCTAGAGAAAAATACTAAATTCTTCTCCTCCTATCGACAGTTTTGTCGGGAATGTTTGGACAAAAAATATTCATCCGCGTGCAACGTTCCCTGAACGAAAAGCTATCTCCTTTCGTCGCAAAATGAATGCAAAGCGAAGTATTTCTTATATACAGCGAAGTTCCTCCCTAACGATAACGTGGAATACGAACTTCTTTATACTTTTTTTACATTTATTTTATTTGTTCGCTTTGTTCGAACGTCGAACCGAATATTATTTGGGATTGAAACGTTCGGGCCAACTAGAATTTTTAGCCTTTCGCGTGTCACTGACTCTTGGACTCTGTTTTTCTCTGAGCGAGTTTGATATTGGAAACAGAGTCGCAAAGGCCGAATGTTGGTCGCGCGCGCGACTTTTCTCTCGAAACGAGACCGGTTTCGCGAAAGAGTCTGATAGCGAGAGAACTGGAACGCGGCATGAACGTTCCGACAGCTCGTGAACTCTTCCTCCCTCCCGAATCTAATATTCGAAATGGACATCTTCGGCGAAGACAACCAATCGACGATTCAATATTTCCAATGGACTCGTTCAATCTCGATGTCCGTGGGATACGTTGCTTGGATTTTGATCAAAGTCGTTCGCAAACTAATTCTAAAAATTAGCTTACTTCTCTGTGCACCGCGTACGTTTTTTTCCTTCAAAGTATTCAACGAGATGTCAATCGGCCAGAGTGCTTGTTTTCAATCGTTCGTTTTCGCGGCTCCGTTTCGATTTGCTACGCGATCGACGATCCTACACACAAACGTTCGGTTCGTCTAAACGCGTACCGTTTCAGAGCGGCGTGCGTTTCAATTCACTCGCGTCGTAATTCTCCGCGTTGGCGCACGGTAGTCACAACAGGTTGCGCGATATCGCGGATTTTTCCACGCCCCGCGAAATTACAGCTCGGCTCGAGTGCCGGTCTCGCGAGTCTCTCAGCGCTGAAACCTGGAACGCTGTTTTCCTGATATGTTGTTAAGGGCTTGTTAATTACAAAAGTGGCAGAACAGGATCAGGCGGATGGGTAGAAGCGACGTACGCGGGCTGGCACGTACACGCACGCGGCGTTAGGCTTGTTCCGATAAAGAGGAAGTGCTATTTTCCATTCAGCGATGGCTTAACGCCAGCCGTAAATACTCAATAATATTCCGATAAGAGAAGTAATTGAATCGAGTAGACACGCTTCTGACGATCTGGCTAGAGATACCCGACCCGAATTTACACGCGGAATTTGCAATTCATATTTCACAGTAGTGTTGTTGTTCCCCGCGACGCACGCGTACGCTGCGTGTCCCTGACGTCGTCTCCGGTGGCTTTGTGAGCGGACTCTGGCTATTTCGAGGAATGAGTTTCATCGGAAACCTGTTCCGCGAGTCTGGTTTAAACAAAGAAAAAAAAAGTTTTTTTAGGCTCGCTTCTATCAACGCGTGGTAACACGCGCGACGATAGCGCCAGCCGGGATCTGAAACTCGCGCGAAGAACCACGCTTCGGGTTTTTCCTACGCCGTCCGTGAGTTTTCAATCCAATTCGCCGATACTCGAGACTCCATTGTGATCATACTCTCTCACGCCGCGGGGAAGAATCCGCGCTGGAATGAATTTTCTGTCCCAAAATTGCAATGTTTGCTCGGTGTTAAGTATATTTAACTATACAACCCAGGCGAAACAAACAATAAATCGATTACTTCTCAATAATTTCTATCCAGCGATATCGATACCGACGAGCTTGAAAAGAAAGCGACGAATTGTTGTATTACGGTTCGGTCGCTCGTTATGGTCCGCGGATCAGTTGCCGGCGCAAGTGGTTGATAATCCGTTTCGGGCATTGACTTTCAACCACGTTACCACGTTTCTACAGTACGATGCTTTATTGCACGCAATCAAATTCTCACAGGACAGATCTCTCCTATCCAAGGCGAGACGACTCGAAAGTTTCTCAGCCAATTTCGCATGCACGCGACTCCGGAGCTCCGGCTGTCTGTTCTCTCTGTGGCCCGAGAGAGCGTGGCAATTATTAACGCGTAATGAGAATTCCCAAAGGCATTAAGTAAAACCGCAGCTCTAGCGCGCGGGGGTGTGTATGCGCGCGCGAGGCCGTGCGTTTCGTCGTCTTCCATAATTCGCGTAATCGCGATTGCCGTGCCGTGACACATATATTCGCTAGGCGTTATTCATAACACTGGGCGTTGCGTCATATCTGTTGCGCATCGGCGGAATTGCCCGGCCGATTCTCGCGCCTTGATTACACGCAGATTACGCGCAATCATAGCGCAACGACGACAGCGCTGCTATCTCGACACCGTTGCATATCAATTGCAAATTGCGCATTCCGCAATGCCGGTTCGAAATCTCGTCGACCGACATCCAGCACGTAGCATTTCTGGCCAATCTGTCGATTCCCTCCGTGCGATCCGTTCGATCGCAAATTGTTCCCCTGATCTTTCGATTGGTACAAAAGGTTTCGAAACAACAATCCGCCGACGCGTTCCGTTACGTCCGTTGTAATTCGAAGGATTAATCATTCGACGCGCGCGTGGTCAAAAGTTCACGGTCGTAGATTTTAGAATCAATTTCATTTGAAACTTTTCTTTTTTCTTGCGATACAATCGATATGTACGGAGCTTCCACTCTTTAACGCGAAACGTGCGACCTTGCGCGAGCTCGAACATTCGTGATTTCCGCGTGAAGAAATGTTAAAATTGACCGTGAACGATGTCAAATTAATTGTCGACGTCGATTTGTCGATACTCGTGGCGAATTCGAAAAGGAAACTTGCCGGGTGTTCGTCTAACTCAATTATCGATGATCGGTCGAGAGCGTGTCGAGTTGCTGCTTCGTGTAAAACGCTCGTGTGCAAATGAAATTCCCCGATTGAACTCGGAGAACTTAGGATCGTGGATACTAAAATCTCGAAATTTACAAAGTGTCAGAGGGACTTTGCGCGTTAACAGAGATAAACTTTCTTTTCGAATCAAAGTGAAATCGTGTATCGTTGTTGGTATTTACGGCAGGAAATCAAGCGCGTCGTTGAAACGCTGTCTCTCTGGCTTCTGTTCGCTTCCCATTTGCTTTTGTAACGAGAACGATCAAAGACGCGGGAACGAGGAACGCTCTCTCCGTGTACGGTCTTTTACCAAACTATCTGATTTCTATTACAATGAGGCGGGCATTACTTATTCCGTTGATGTAACGGTAACGAAACGTGATGACAGTGTAAACAGACGTGACTCGATTAGCATAAGGTATTGTTTCGCAGCGAGAGTCTCTATCTCTCTCTTTCTCTCTCTCTCTCTTTCTCTCTTTCTCTCGTGTTCTCTCGGAGGGCCGGAAGTTTGCGTACTTTTACGCCTCGAGAGCTTTGTTCCACCGCGGCGAGTGCAAACATTGAACGATTTCCGAACTGAAGACACGGCACGTTCGAAATACAAATTCGTCAAACGAAGCGCGGCCGATCGATTCGCGATGAGGGGCGAGGAGGTGGGGGGGATAAGACAGAATACGGGACAACATACAGAAAAACAAGAAGGTGTTAAAAACATAAAAATAGAGCATTTTATTACTTTTCAGTCACAGGTTTTTAATCTAACATTATCTTTCACGTGGTTCGAGAAAGTAGTTCGCAGAAGAGAAGAGAAAATTGAAAAAAAAAAAGAAAAAAAAAAAAACAGAGAGATGAGTCGCTTGCGAGGAAAGCTGAAGGAGATTTGTTTGTTTTCACGTTTGTACATTGCGTTTCAATTATTTATAGCGGGCTTTTGCCTTTTTTTTTTTATGTCTCCTTGCGCGACGCGCGCCATCCTGAATCCGACCGTCGTTTTCAATTTCAAGTTTTGCCCGAACAATTGTCTGAACAGTATTCTACCGTGAAACGTCGTATCCTTCGCTCTTGGAGCCAAGTCGACGTGTATCGCGAACAGAAACGAGCACAAAGGAAGGAAAGAGAAAAAAAGTAAAAAAAAAAAGGAAGAAAGAGAAAAAAACAAAGGCAGATCGAATTCAAGTCCGGAGACCTTCGCCCCCGGTGGCACGCGATTATCCGATTGCGATCGGAACGACGTACGCGTCGTGAAACGCACGCGACGCCTCTCGTTTCAACGTTCAACCGAAACGAAATAAATAAGATAGAGTTTTGCACGCGTTAATACTTTACAAATGACAGAGGCATACAGTAGAAAGAATTCGCGTAGCTGCGGACGAAAACTCGCCGGTCTAGATACAATTAAATACACAATTGGATTAGCGCTACGATCAGAGGAGGAAGTGAATATCACTGCGATTGGAAACTCGAAACGACACGAGAAACGACGATCTCGCCACGAGACATTGAGACGACGCGAAACGTTCGCGTTCCCCTCGTTTCCGATCAGATTTTCAAAAGGATTCACGTAGCGCGAAAGGATCGCGTGACGTTCGAAATATCCGCTCGATTCGACGAATCAAAGTCGGAGCGTACTGACGAAGTGTGTATTCCATAGATTTCTCGCATTCCTAATACGATCCTTCGTACGATAATGGCGCGCACAGGCTGTTATCGAAGGTAAATTCACATGGCACACCGTGAGCTCGTGAGGGCCCCCTGTGCCGCGGTGTGTACACATCGCGGAAGTGTGTACACCACGAGGCTATGACGATACGCGAGAGAATATCTCTCGTCCGACGAGATCTTTCACGCACTGTTAATCCTAAATTAACCGTGAGCTTGATCAACCGGCGGGAGGGAGAACAGTCTTGGTAGAGACGCAGAAGACGGGGGGACGTATTTACAACGACTTTAAGCTATCTAGCAAACTCACTGACTGCGCTGCTGCAACGTACAGAACACCGGGACGAGTACAGTCTCGGTAATGTATCCCCGTGGTCTCACGGGGCAAGCACCTTAAATATTATAATCACGCACACTCGCACATACGCACATTCTCTCTTTCTTTATTCTCCGTTTCTTTACCATTTCGTTCTCTCTCTCTCTCTCTCTCTCTTTCTCTCTATTTACAACGACACACACTGGGATCCTCCCTTTTCTCGATTAAACATTTATACAGACAGCGATCCACGAAGTATTTACACTTTTATACGCGTATCCTATTGCACCGTTGGTAAACGCACTGTGCCCCGATACATCGGTCATCGCGCACCGATGTCCTCCTTCTTTCTTCTCGCCTTTGGACGCTCACTCCGACCGTCGACCGGAAGAGAAGGCACACGTTCACGAAAACACGCGAACAACACCGGGGAACGAAAGCACGGAGAGGGCTCTCTCATATGTGGACGGAGACGGTACGCGATCCGTTGGACGTCCTGTTGTTGTGCTGCCGTCGGACCGGCGGCGGCTGCCTCGTCCTCTGCGTGGCCCTCTGATTGTTCGGCACGTCCGGCAACGCGAACCGAAGCTTCTCCCAGAACAGCTTGTCGCCCCATTGCAAGTACGTGTTGGTCTTCAGATACAGCCTGATGTCTGGGTCGAGGTCTCGCTGATGGACGTCGCCCACCAGCACCAGGATCAGTCTGCGTCTTCGGTCGCGCAACACCTGATGGTGCGCCGACTTGAAGTCGAACCGACACCACTCCGACTTGATGAAGTTCTCCGACAGCACCATTATCGTTCTCCTCGAGGACTCGACCGCCTGGACGATGGTGTCGGCTATGAAGCTCCCGACAGGGAAGTCCCGATAGTGGAGGCACAGTTTGTAGGAAGGGTTGCCCATCTCTAGCACGGGCGCCAGTTCCTCGGCGACGAACGCCTCGTCCTTGGAACTGTAGCTGACGAACGCGTCGAACAGTTTGTCCCGATCGTCTCGGTCCACCTCGTGGTTCCTGTAGAATATCCTCACGCCGAACCTCGAGTGGAACCACACGCGAAGCTCTTGCCGGAACACGAATCCCAACATACAGAGGAGAACCACCAGCAACGAGCCGACCAACGTGGCGATCAACAGCGGGAGATAGTCCTGCAGCACCTGTTTCTCGATGATGGTCTTGGTGTAGTTGCGGTGCACGTCGTTGTCGATGCTGCTGGCGCCGGTGCACACCGTGTCGTTGCTCCTCTCGCGATCGTTGCTCGCCATCATCGAGAAGCCGAACTCGTTGTCCGCGAATACCTCGTCACCGAACGCCTCGAACTCCGTCACGTTGTACACGCAGCGCAACGCCGACGCGTCCGTCACGCGAACGTTCGGCTCACGGATCCACTCGCGGTAACTCTGAACGTAGTCACACTCGCACGACCATGGATTGCCGGACAGGTTGACCTCGATCGACCCGGGTAACGTCCACACGGCCAACGTCGTCAAACGATTGCTCTCCAATCGAAGAACGCGCAACGATCGGAGAGAGGCGAAGGTGTCGTTGCCTATCGAGGCGATCCGGTTCCGATGCAGGTAAAGAAGCTTGAGAGCGTCCAGCCCTTCGAACTCGTGGCCCTTCAGCTCCCGAATCTTGTTGTCTTGCAGATGAAGGTCCTCCAGGTCTCGGAGGCCGTTGAACGATCGATTCTGCACGATCTCGATGTTGGAGGAGTTGAGGAACAGAACTTTGAGCTTCTTACGGCCGATGAAAGCGTGACTGGACACCGCGCGCAGGTCGTTACCGTCCAGATAGAGCCGCGTCGCGTCCATCGGTATTTGTTCCGGCAGCTTGTTCGCGTGACCACCGTTGGAACAGTCCACCACGTTCGCCGACCACGACTGATCGTGGTAACACGTGCAGTTCAAAGGGCACGTCATCTCGCAGTCGCAGGCGTCGAAGTCGCAGCAATGGCACAGCGCGAAGCAATGGGTGTCGTACTTGCAGAGGAACTGCGAGTGCGACGCCTCGACCAGAGGGACGAACGCGTGCTCCCGATCGTACAGAAGTTTGCAGTAGATGCTCTCCAGGTCCATGACGCGCGGTTGCACGCGAGTTTGGTTCTGTCTGTTGACACGTTGCAGCCACTCCATGGTGCAGTCGCACAGATACTGATTGTCACCGATGTAAAACTCCGGCAGCGGTTTCTCCGGCGGGACGGCGCTGATGCGCAGCGCGTACGGCTCCAAGTTGCGTATCTGGTTCCCCTTGAGCTCGACGGTGGTCAGGTTGGGCTTCTTGAAGAACGAGTAACTCTGCACCTTGGAGATCTGATTGTCGTTCAAGTAGAGCCTCTCGACGCTCATCGGGATCGCGTTCCCGGTGATCTCCGTGAGTTTGTTCTCGCTGGCGTCGAAGATGCTCAGCTGTAACTGGCTCTCGATCTCGAAGTAGTTGCCGAGCTCTCGTATCTCGTTCGAGTGGATGTCGAGCCACTGGAGGCCGGTCGGTATCATCGCGTAGTCGAACCACCGGAGCTTGTTGTCGCTGACGTTCAGCCAGACGAGATTCGGCAAATTGGTGAACAGGCCGGCGATGTCCGTCAGCTGATTGCCGTCCAGACGGATCGCTTGGAGGTTGAGGTTCTCGTCGAATGTGCCCGGCTCGATGTACTGTATGCGATTCATGGCGAGATTCAATATCTTGAGCTCCTTGATGCGATCGAAGACACCCTTGGTGAGATTGCCGATATGATTCTCGGTTAATCGGAGGCCGTACAGCTGGGCCACGTGGTCGAACGTGCCGGTCGGTATCTCCGAAATGAGATTCTCGCCGAGGTCGAGGGTTCGCAGAAGGGGTGTGGCTTTCAGCGCGTCCGGCACGGACTTGAGCTGGTTGCGGTTCAGATGAAACTCTTGGAGGGACGAGGCGTTCCTCAGGGAGCTCGGGTGGATCGTGTGCAGCCGGTTGTTGTCCAACGAGAGCAGATTCAGCACGTAAAGGCCGCTGAGCGTGGTCGCGTCGATAACAGTTAGCAGATTATAGCTGAGCAACAGCGTGTGAAGATTATAGAGCGCGGAGAACGTGTTCTCCGGCAGTGTTTCCAGCAGATTCTCCTGCAACCGGAGGATCTGCAGGCTGTAGAGGTCGCGGAACACGGTCGGATCTAGCCGAGCGATACGGTTGTTGGACAGATCGAGCACCACTAAACGTACCAAACCACTGAACGTAGCCGCGTTCACCCACTCGGCGGTCAACTCGTTGTGCGAAAGATCCAGCACCAACAAATGCGTCAGTTCACTGAACAAACCGGGCGGTAGCACGTTCAACGTGTTGTTCCTCAAGTGAATCTCCTGGATGTTTCGCGCGTCGCTGAAGAGTTCGGGCGGCAAGCTGGCCAGCCGATTGTCCGCGAGCCTCAAGATGGCCAACGAGGAGAGGCCCTCGAACGCGCGGTCCGCCATGAAGCTGATGGCGTTGCACCGTAGGTCGAGGCTGTGCAGCCTGGTCAAGCCGGAGAACGCGGCGGTCGGCAACGTTTCGACGCTGTTGTTGCTCAGATCCAGCTCCTTCAGGCTCGACAGACACCTCGACGCCCCGTTGAAACGAAAGCTGGTCACCTCGCGCAGTCGGTTCCTCGTCAAGTTTAAAATCTCCAGATTGACCAGCGGACAGAGGGCACCCTCCGGTATACTCCACATGTTGTTCTCGCCGAGATCCAGTTTCTCCAATTGTCTCAGCTCGTCCGTGAACGCGCCGGCCGACACGTCCAGCGCCATCGCCGACCAGTCGGTGTTGTGCGTCCTCACGGTCAAGTTACGCAATTCCTTCAGCCCTTTGAACGCGTCGTCCGACAGGTTACCGATCTTGCAGTACTCGATCACCAGTTCGCGCAGCTCGACCAACGGCCTGAAACTTCCGGCGCTCAGCGAGCTCTGGTAGAACAACGCGTCGCTGCATTCCAGCCGCAGACGGACCGTGTGCTGCGGCTGTATCACGCTGAAATTCGTGTTCTCCAGCTCGCTGTTGATGGTTCTCAGGCGGCAGACCAGCGAGACGTCGTCCTCGGTGTCGCCGGTCGCCACCCACTTGCACTCGTCCGGCGCTTTGTATCGGAGCGCCTTGCTGAGAGACGCGCCGAGGACACCGAATATCGTGCCCAGTAATATGGCGAAGAACGCAGGACTGCCCCGCATCTTTCCGCCCGCTTTCTTCTCTCAATCTTCCATCAAATCTCTCTCGAGAGCAAGAGCGAGAGAGAAAGAGAGAGACAGGGGAGGGAGAAAGAGAGAGAGAGAGAGAGAGAGAGTTCACAGAGGGAGTGTCCCCGCGGACGCGGTGTCCCCGACCTCCTCTATCTGTCGCGAAACCGGCCGCGATCCATTTAAGTCACCGACCCACCGATCTCTACCTCACATCACCCATGTCACTTCTGGGTCTGTTGGTTGGGCCTCTTCCTTCTCGAACCACGCATAATAAAGGACGACGTTGCCTCTGCTCTTTTCGGCCGTTTACCTCTTCTCGCAGCTACGATCCTTCTCTTTTCTCTTGGCCAAGTTATGCGCGCGTGTGTCTCTGTCACCTCACATCGTTCTATCCTACGGCACGAGACGAGTTTTACAATCCTGGAGATTTCATCCTCGAGTGCACGAGAGCGCGCGAGAGAGAGAGAGTTGTATTATCCTGAATAATGCTGTCCGATCTCTCGACGCACCGTGCGAAAACGTCGTGACGCGGCGTGAGTTCACCGACCTACCGAGATCATCGATATATATACGTATATACCGTATACCCGGCGAACGAGAGAGAATAAAAATCGTCGAACGAAAAGTCACGGACGTTCGATGTAACACGGTATATACGGTTGTGGTAAGACCCACGGTTCTCCGAGGACTGGTTGGCAAGTTGTAAGGCCCGAACTGGCACCGCTACCCTCGCCCCTCCGCCTACCCTTGCCTGCTTCACTTCGCGTCCCTTCTCTTCTCGGCTGTCCTTCCTTCCCCCACCTTTACACCTTCTCTCCTCCTCGTCGTCGTCTTCGTCGTCGGTGCCGCGGCCGCCGCCGTCGTCGTCGCCGTCGTCGTCGTCGTCGTCGTCGTCGTCGTCCGTAGAGCCAGGGCCCCGACGTTCTGGCAAGCCTATAAAAACAAGACAGGTACACTCTCTGGGCCCTTACAGTGGCTCCTCAGCATCTGCAGCCTCCATCCACCACGTCCACTCGGTTATCCTTGTTCCACCGTTGCGCGATTCCGTTAGCTCGATCCTCGTTGCACGCGCGTTTCGTTCCCTTTCGTGTCCCCGTGTTCCTCCCGTGGCTCTGTTCCCCCCCTCTCTCTCTCTCTCTCTTTCTCTCTCTGTCGTTCGTTCTCGAGAGAGAGTATCGCCGAGTTCGATTCGTCCGTGAAACCTTGCCTCACCGTCATCTGTTCTCACATCGTTTCTACGATTCTGTCACGACGAATGAAACCTCGAAAAAGAATGTTTGCTCAATGCCTTTGTGCGCGAATCCCGTTCCCATTCGCATTCCAGTTGTCGCGAGTCTGTGAGGCTAGTATTTTGCAACTAGCCTCCCCTTTTCTTCTCTCTCTCTCTCTCTCTCTCTCTCTTTCTTTCTCTTTCTGTACTTTTCTCTTTCACGCTTGCTTTCGCGCCTCTTTCTCTCTCGCCGTCGATTTATAATCTACGCGAGCGGCTGTATCGCCGCCCCGTGTGTGTTTCCCGACGTGTGTTACACGCTACGATACATTGTTCTTTTGTTCGGATCGCGCAGGATTTTCGCGGAATTGAAAATTCCCTCTGTCTGTCCACGGGATAAGGGTAATCACGAACGAGGCGAGACTCGCGTACGCGCGAATTGCGACCGTTCGCCTGTTCCATTGGTATCCTTTGAATCGGCTCGTTCCTCCCATTCCACGGGATTCGATCTCGCCCGAGTAACGAGAGCTATTAGTACAGCACGAAAATTCTCAAGCGCCGCAGCTATTTAAAACCCTGAACCGCCTGAAAAATTTGACCTGCTGCGACGCGAAATTGTTTTTCATTTTGTACTTTCCATCGTATTCCATTGTCCCATCGTCGGTCTCTCCTCCTCTTCCTCTGTAGAGCTATACGTATGTAAATATAAAGGAACACGTGGTACACGAGGGTGGAAGAAGGAAGAAAGAGGAGGGGAAACGAAGTGGAAGGGTGGAAAGGCGTGTGTCACGTTGAATGGGGTGCGTGTGGCTCTTTTTGTAAAAGTAGCAAGTGAAATACTTTCCTTTCACTGGACGTTTTCCGCTTCGTCATTATTAGCTTTATGGTCTGTTTGGGATTCGCGCATTCCCGGGGTCCCCATTCAGTGTAAAACGATCGGACGCATTGTGTCAGGAATCGTCTGTTAGGGACACGTCAAGTGATTCCCCACAGAGAAAGAGAGAGAGAGAGAGAGAGAGAGAGAGAGAAAGAGAGAGAAGAGTCCGGCTCCTTTCAGAAAACAGTGCTCGGTAGCTTCCATCTCTGGTCGTTGAAAAGTGATTTGTTACCTTTACCTGGGCCAAAGTAGGGGTCCAACATTGGCAGGCTGCCCTCTCGAATACGTCTCGTCGTCGTTCCACCGGTTGATTTACTCATCGAAATTCAAATAGGAGGATACATCATTTTCATCGGACCAATAAAAGTATCATTAGTAAAATGAATGCTGGCCAGGTTGGCCCGTCCTCGATTTCGTTCCAGTTCCAGCCTCCTCCGGTGTATCCTTTCGTAGCCTCTCCTTTTATTTCCAACCTCTGGAAAAAAGGGTTCGACCCAAGCTACTCGTTCGAAAGCTCTTCCAAGTACGCGATACCCGGGTTTAAGTGCTGCTGCTCCGGGAGGAAAACGAGGATCGAAACGAGATTCGTAATTACACGAACGCGACGAGCAACGAGAAAATAACAGATACTGTCCATTGTCATTAATAAGAACGAAGAAAGAATAAGTCGGTGCGATGGAAAGCGAATCCTCCGCGGTTGGTGTATCTTATCGTCCGGTTCCATTGATCCTTATTGCAAGATCTTTACCAAGGCCGCAGGCTTAAATCGATATAATATTTCACCTTTCCGCGAACGGTCGTCTCCCCCCGCCGCGGTAATATCGTCGACGGCCAGCGTTTTACTCATCAGGTATCCGGCGTTTCGCGAGTTAATCGGCTATCACGCGTTGTCCCACTGTGGCGAAAGTGTGACGAATATCACAGCGCTTCTCTCACCTTCTCGTCACGTCGCCTCTCATTTACATTGGAGTCCCGGCTCCTCTTCTAGGAAAAAGTGGCATCCTTCTGCGTAAACGTCAGTCGTTTATCTGTGTGTCGCGAAGGTCAACAGCCTATCAATTTCAAAAAAATGAAAAAGAGGGTAACCGTTATAAATATACTAGTATTTTTGTAAATACCAAGTACGATTGATTACAGTGTAAATCAAACAATCACCCTCAATAGTGGATGTTGCACCGCATGAGAGACAGAGAGAGAGAGAGAGAGAGAGAGAGAGAGAGAGAGAGAGAGAGAGAGTTGCAAAAATTACAGCACGAGTGTTGGAATAATTGTTCGGAATCTTTAAGGGTTAGGCGGGCGTTGCGCAATCGTCGGCAGAGTCGGGCCGGCGAAAAGAACGGATTCCCATGATTTCCCAGGGAACCGGCGATCCAACGCCACGTTTTTTTTTTTTTTTCTCCTCCTCTGGTTGTCGGGTTTGATTAGCGAAGCGATGTGAATGAGCCTTAAGAAGGAGGATGCCCCGATGGTTGCGCCGCTGAAAGGTGGCTAGCTGGCGGCTGGGATCGGCGAAAGCGGTCAGTGATCGCTGGGGCCTCATGCTCGGGCTCGGGCCCCTCGTTGCTCACGATCCTCTCCCCACTCTCTCTCTTTCTCTCCCTCTCTTTTTCTTTCTCTCTTCCCCTACCTGGCCTGCCCTTCCTTCATCTTTCCCCTCGTTGCTGCGTTCCCCTTCCACTCTCTCTTTCTCTCTCTTTCTCTCTCTTTCTTGAGGCCCCTGCATTCTCCTCCCACTTGAACCTCCCGCCCGAACCTCCCCACCAGGCCGCCCCGTGGGCCTAGTCTCCTTTCAACGGTGCAGGTGACGGGGCATTCTTTTAAATCTAATCAACTACCGAACCTCGGCCCGATGTATACAGGGTGTTACCGAACTGGCCGGCCTGACAGCATCCTTAAAAATAGGATACCGGTCGAGTCCTGACAAGGTGTCCACTTATCGAGCCGGCCAAGGTGGCCGCGTATAATTCATGGGTTCAGAGGGAAGAGAGAGGAAGAGGCCAGCACTCTCTGCTTCTCAACCTCTCCGTTTCATCTCTCGTTCTCCCTCGAGGCTTTCCTCCTCCTTCTTTCTCCCCTTCTCTCTGATAAAGAGGCGAGAAGCCTCTCCTGTTTGATCCTCTCTCTCTCTCTTTCTCTCTCTCCTTTCCTCTCTTTCTCTCGGTCCGTTCGATTTTCGACGCGTTTATGGGCAGCCGAGTTCCAGTTACGAAATCCTCTCTCCGACAAACAGGAAATCGACGCGCGGAGATCGATCGTGGCTGATCGGCGAGGTTAAACGGTCGACGAAATAAAACGGTTTTACGCCGGCGCGGCGATCTCCACCGGCGAGCAGGAGATCGCGATGCGGTTTCACGGGAGGTTTTACGAGTTTTCTTCGAGCGGCCGCGGTGAAACGCGATCGCTCCTTAGAGAGGGAATTGCAACGCGTTCGAAGAAACACGTTGCGCGTTTCTTGCGACCACGTGTGACGCGAGAGAACGATTCCGCCTCGCCGGACGGGGGGACCACCGTGTGCATTACGATACGCGAGTAGCGCGAAGCACACGCGATGACTGAGAAAGAATGACTCGTACGCAGATAGAAAGACGCGCCTCCTTTTAAGAAATCGTGCGAGCCAGCTCGCAATTTAACGCTCGATTGACGATTCGCAGCTCGTCGGTACTTTTAATAATTATTGCAATTCCATTGTTGAAATCTCGAAAAACATATCTTTTCGTTCGTGAGGGAATTGGAGATGAAAATCACAACGATTAAAATGTTTGTTTCTTTTCTTAAACGTGTATAATAAAAATACCTTTTAATGTCTAATGAAACGACTGCCAATCGCACGTCGTACATTGCGATCGTTAACCTCTTGCGCTGGAATGACGTGCCACGCACGTCGAGAACTTTTTGTCCCAAAATTGCAACATTTTCTCAGTTTTAAGTATACTTAAATGCAACCCAGGCGAAACAAACTTCTTGATAGTTTCTGTCCAGTGATGTCATACCGACGAGTTTAAAAGAAGAAGAAAGCGACAAATTATTGTATACAATTCGGTCACTCGTTATGGTCCGCGAACCAATTGCCAGCGCAAGGACTTAATCGGTGTATTCGATTAATCATCAACGAGTAAAAAAAAAAAAAAAAAAAAGAAAACGTATAACTATTAGAATTTGAGATACTATTTTTGACTCTAGTTAGACATCGTTGTATGCGAATTATGTATCCCCTTTTCTTCCAAGCAAGCCAGATTCTCCTGACGGTCGCTGCTCATTAGCCAGCGGCCGGAGAATCAATCAAGCGCGTTTTCGGATCGTGTGACGCACA